GATACACGGAAATTGTACTTAAGTACAGTAGCGAAGTACTTGTACTTCGTAACTTCCCACCACTGCAGAGTTGTGATCAGGACGTGTTAGATGAAGCCAAAAATACCGACGTTAGGTTGTACACCCCGTCTGTAAAACCTAAAGTGGCTAAGTGATGCACCTAAGAGGGTTTTCACCATCATGCATCCAGCATGAGCATTTCAAACACGAGCAAATGGGTACTTCTTTCTATGGTACAGTCAGGGTTGCGTTTTCAATTTATTGTTGTTTAGTCCTGCACTCACTGGTGAAACTCTGATCACACAGGTCTGGAAAACATGTTTTACTTCCCCAGTCTCTGGGATAACCCTTTCCAAAACACAGAAGGATTTCCTCACAGCACTTCAGAGCATTAATTAGACGAGCATTCCTCTGTAAAAAGAAAAAAAAATCCCTTTTGAAAAGGTTTGGAAGCGGGCGCTCGTCAGTGAGCTGGAGCTTCCCGTTCAGGATTCCCCCCCCCGCGCCGGGTCTGTGGGGTTTCCTCTCATCAGTGTCTGTGAGTCAGTAACAGAACCTCCGCTGTCAGCTCAAGCCCTCGCACGCCAAATCCTGTCCGCATGTAGGAGTTTAACCACTGTATTTATCCAAAAACCGCTGGACTGAGTTTAGCCGTTGCTCAGTTAAACCATGCTCTGTTCATTTAAACCCAAATTACCCCCCCAACCCTCTTCAATCACTACCAGAGTCAAGGGAAACTAATAGGACTTCAGGAATACACAACTATAACAATCAGAATAGCATCAGCTTGTCTTTCTTTCTTCATTTAACCAGATCCATTCTTGTTCTTCATAGAGTAAAAAGTCACTGTAGTATTTCTCTTTATACAGAAAAAGCTAAAGGTTGGGCCTTTCTGAACCACATTGATTTGACTCTGTGGAGCACAGTGGGGGTGTTTAGTGGGCCTGGCCTGAGCAGGGGTCAGAGTAGGAGGAGGAATGGTAGAAGTGGTCTGTATAGCCACAGAGCCATTTTGAAACTGAGGAATACCGAGTACCCTGATGCTATAAGTGTGTCCCCAGAGGGATTAACGTCCAGTTTTCCTGTGAAAGTGGGTAATGAACTCAACCCAAGTGAACCAGTCCCTCCAGCCAGACAGAGTCCAGGACCACCAGCACCGGACCCCCTTTGTGGAGGCCTAAAAGAAGACGGGCTCCTAGTGCGGAGAACCCATTTACGACCATTAAGAAGTGGGTAATTGCTGTTATTTGTCCATCTCTGTGCTGTTCTGTAAGAAGTGGAGTGGGTCAGCCATTTCTGCTATGTGAGGAATGAGTCAGATGGTGTTTTTTCCCCTTCTTGTATTTTGTTTTTTCAAAGCAAACAGCATAAGTAAAGCTAATCCTGCCATCTGTGAACACATCTAGGGGAACAACAGGGCTGATGAGCGTTTTTTTTAATTTACATACATTTCAGCACCTCTTTCCTCCAGCGGCTCATTTCTGATCACGCTTTTGACTCCATTCCAACCACCAGTTTCCTCTTTAAGCCAGCGGGGATGATGAGATCTCCGTTTCATTGATTCGTGAAAAGCCTTTCAAACCTTTGGATATTCTGTGTGTAGTTTGTGTCATTATTTGTTTGGCTCTCCCTCTAAAACCACGCAGAACCGGCTCTTTCTGTTTCTGCGTGCAGCTGCTGGCACCCGAGAGGAAATCCCCCCTCTGCAGCGCACCGCCGCGCGTGTGTGTGTGTGTGGGTGTGTGTGTGGGTGTGTGTGTGTGCAGCCCGCCGAGTGTGGAGCAGGGATCAGACAGCCTCAGCCCACGCTGCACAGGTAAAGAGCAGGTAAAAAGAAGGTCATAAAAACTAACAAAAGGCAGTTAAAAAAGGAAAATAACTGAATTAGAGACAGGAGATTGTTCCTTGGCTGACCACCCCCAGCACCGACACACACGGCGGGGGCGTGAGAAACCACGTACAGTCAGAAGGAAAGAGGAAGTCGGTTTGAGGGGTGACGAGGCTGAAAAAACAGAACCGCTCTGAGAAAACGAGCCGTTTCAGGCCTCGGAGCGTTTCTTACCTCTGGCGGAGAGCTTCTTGGTGTTGATGATTTTGGCCGCATACTCCTGTCCCGAGGAGATCTTCATGCACCTCCTGACCACGGAGAAAGCCCCCCTGCAGGAAAACAAGGTGGCAGATTAGCGAACGCCCTGGTGAGGGGGGTCGGTGTGTGTTTGGCAGGTGTGTGCACATCTGGCTGGACACACACAGCTGCAAAACCTTCACTCAGAGCCAAAAACACCTCCCGGGGTTAGAGGATGCTCCACTGGCCCCTCCCCCCTCTTTGCACCCCCTGCAGCAGTCTGTTTGGCTGCATTTCTAACTCTGCAGAGGCCGGCCTACTGTGTAAAAGTCAGAACTTTGTGGTGTGGCGACATAGACTGCGATTGGGTGACATAAATCTTTAAATAAACAGGGTGATAAATATGAATTTTTCCTTGATTTTGAGTTGAGGTACAGGATTCGCAGTAGTAAAAATCAGTTGAGATCAGTTTTCTGGGAGCCTCTGTAGGACTGGAGTCATTTCTTTCCATAAAAAACCCAGCAGGTCTGATAAATAATGTAAACAGAAACTGCCACAAAACACAACTATTTCCCTGGTTTGGCATATCAGAAAGACACACACTGTTTAACAGAGGTAGAAAACATGTTCTTCCTGAAACAGGGAGCTTCTTGTGCTTTAAAAACATAATCTAAAGCTCAAGTTTAATTGGAAATAGGAGAAATTCCTTGTGATTTGAGTAAAGTCTCATCTAATCTTTTGCTTCAGAGTCCAAGCGGGCTGATTCTTTAGGTGTATAAGCTCAGTTTAAAGGGTCTGCTAAGCTGAGCGTCCACAATAAGAGTGTTTTCTGCTGTTCTGTCCGTGTGACGCAACGCTGAGCAGACAAAGGCGTGGGCTGTCCCTCCACCAGCAGGTGCAGCCCGCCAACCAGGAAAGAGAGGAACTGCCAGTCAAACCCGGGAGGGCCAGCATTTCGAGACAACGGCAGGAAACGCACTAAACGCACTAAACCTGCGTTCTCTACTGTTCCTCTGAGGCTAGCCGGGTCAGGACGCCTCAGAAAACCCGCCCAGGACTCCGTAAATGCTCTGTGGAACATGGTGGAGACAGGACGGACAGGTCTCTCACATTTTTCCTGCAGCCTGAGAGTCCTGCCTCCAACCCGGTGGAGAAAAGTTATGAGGAAAGGACTGAAAATATGTTTTTTGGTGAGCGAGGCCTCTCCCTAAAGAAACCTGAAGCCAGGTGTTGCATTGCTCCAGGCTTGGAGAACATGAGAGCCTTCACCTCCACCCCACCCCCCCAACACAAGCTGCTGAGAATCCCTGTTTCTGCACCATATTTCACTCATTGCCCTAAACTCTGCGTTGCCTTTTGCGCAAACTGCGCCTTTTACGCGCCAGTAAACCGGTGGTGGGACAGAGAGAGAGCAGTGAGCTCCTCTGGAAGGGGCAGAGGAAGGTTTCCATTGGCTGCTGGGGGGGGGGGGGGGAACCCAACCGGCTGCAGCCCAAACCTCTCATCAGGTTAAGCACGCTCTGCAATGGCGTCAACCAATTTACTTTGCGCGTTTTTTTAATATTTTCTTAAGGATTAAGCACAGGTTTAACCTGTGGTTATTTAAAAAAAGGACAGCCGCGTTCCAAATCCCAGCCTGAGGGCGGTTTACGCAATTTAGAAAGTTCAGCAGTTGGAGGAATAAGGCAGAACCGGCGGAAGGAAGGGTTAGGGTTAGGGTTAGGGTTAGGGTTAGACCAGCACGGTGCGTAAAGAACCGGACGCACCAGGACGCGCCCGGTGGGGTGGACCCAGGTGGCCCAGGTCCCTCTGATTGCCCCCCCAAAAATCTGCCCGCAATTAGCGCCTGGCGCGCGCCCCCGGCCGCGCGCGCGCACGGCCACAGGTGCGGGGACTTACTTGCCCAGCTCCTCGTAGAGCTGGTACTCGTCGGTGAACCTGGTGCAGGTGGGCGCGGCCATGTTGAGGTGCGCCGGGGAACCGAAAGCTCACGCGCTCTAATACGCTCCTGTCCCGGCTCCGCGTGCCAAAGGGCCACCTGCCGTGCTCCGGAGGGCCAAAAAAAATAATAAAAGAAGAGAAGCGGGCCAAAGTGAGGGTCAGTTCGGACCGGATCCGGTCTGCGGGGCCCCGGTGCGCCTGGACTTCTGGAGGACGTCGCGACTCGCTGTTGCGCTCCTGGTCTCAGCTGTCATCTGCAGGGTTCGAAAGCTGTCAAGAGACGGAGAACAGGCAGCGCGACACTTCCGGTTAGGGACATTTCAGAATAAAAGCCCGGAAAGGCGCTCGCAAACAGAAGACTGTTAGTTAGAGTAAGAATCCCCTCTGAGGTCTACAGACCCTTTCCATTCATTAGAATATTGTGGAAAAGTTGTTTAAATTTCCATAATTCTTTAAAAAAAAATTGAACTGTCATGGATTACAGATTCAGGGCACACAATTCAAACGATTTCAATTGAGTAAATTTGTTTATTGTTAATTTGGGTCTTTGAGCTAATAAAACGCAAAAAATCAGGAATTCAATAAACATTTTCCAAACGTATTTAAAAGAGTAACCTGATATGATGAAAACCTTTGGCTGACCGGCTGGTTTTCTTTTCTTCTCATACTTTCTCAAGCCATCTCTTGAATTGGAAAAGTCTTGAGTAATACTATCACCCCAAAATACCACCACATTTTGCTTCACTATGTTATTACCATTATTGCCATTGTCAGTTGTACATTTTGTTTCACAAACCCATTGTTCATGTTAGCTGTTACCGTGACAACCAGGTCTGACTTGGCCGGACTCCACAGCAGCTAATTGGCCTTAATAAGAAATGAAGGTTCTTAACAGATGAGCAGAAGTTCCTACAAGTCGTTCTGTGGGGTTTTTATGGCCATGGCTGTTTTAAATCAAAACCGGTCCTAAAGATCCCCTCTTCAGTAAAATCTACTTAGAGTCCCAGACATGCTGCCACCTTAGACTGACAAGTTATTGTGTATTTAACTGTTAACACCCTGAAAACAAACGTTGGTCTCAGCTTAAAGTAAGCTTTTTTGAGTTTTTAGGTCTTTCTGAGTCTTGTTGGAGTTCCACCGGCTGCATTTAGGAAATGAGACGGCTCAATCAACCTCTGCATCTCAATCCTAAATGTTTTTTAAATCAATGCAATGTAAGGACAAAGGACAAGGCTTATGTTTATTGTAGTTGATCCTCGAATATCTGCTTTTTTAGTAGATGGAAAATGATGAACAGAAATAAGCTTGAAATACCTCAAACCTGTTGCCATGGACTGGATCGTCATTTTCATAAAGTCATATCACAGGGTTTTGGTTTGTTGGATAATTTGAACTTTTAGGGACTCAGACTGATGATCAGATTAAGCATTGATAGAAGAAGAAATCAAACTTCACTGAAGGTATACTTTTAAGGTTTGATGAAGGTTTTATCATGTATCTTCTCATTTTAACTGACACTGGTATCACATTTATTTAAACAGGTGGAAATGTTTGGATCCTTTTTAGGGATCCTGACACTATCTCCACCCATTTCACAACTGGCTCTCAGCCGAAGACATCCCTCACAGTAGGTCAGTCATTAGTGGGAGGCTACAGGCTGATCAAACACAATTAGGCCGGGGTATTTCTAAAACTGCTAACGTCTCTGAGCATACATAAAATCATTCAATTACACAATTTGGAAGCCTCATGTGAACCTGACGCAGAACCCCAGCAGAAAAAGCCTCCGAGGCCTCATCGGGTTCACCTTGCAGACCTGCTGTTAAATGGATCTCCATTAATCCACTTTTAGCCTGTAATCTGAACTAATCTACTCTCGGGGAAGTGGTGTTGCGAAACAAACCACTGGCTGCTTCCTGTGGTTCACCTTTATGGACTTTGCGTGTGGGCTGACCATTATCATCATCATCATCATCATCACCACTCAGATAATGTCTGCTGGGTGGTTTTAGGGTGGTTGTCTCCTGCCATTGGCTGCTGTTTGCTGATGCATTTTAGCACGGGGATGCCTCTCTGTGGGTTACTGTGGAGCAGGGGGGGGGCAGCTCCAGGCTTCCAGGACCACTGTCCTGCAGCCTTCCCCCAGCTTCAACACACCTGAGTCAGATCAGCACACCACCAGCAGCCCTACGCAGAGCTTAACCCCGGAGCAGATCCATTTAATCTGAGTCATGTGTGCTGCAGGGAGCAGGAAGACCTCTAAAACCCGCTGGACGCTGGCCTTTGAATCCCAGAGTTGCCAGCCACTGCCGTAGAGGAGAGAAAATCTCCAAGCTGTCTGCATCTATCAGCACCAATCGCCATGACGATGTGTTATGTGGAGATTGAATTTGACAAGAAACCAAAGCCGAGTCCTGCTACCCTCTAGTGGTAAGAGGGTATCATAGACTCTTTTGTCTGAAGTATTTCTATTTTAAATGGTATTCTCAATGTGGGCCTCATTTCTGGATTTTCTGAAAATGAGTTTTGAGACTGATATTTAGTCTTTGAAATACAATTTTTGTCATTGAGGAACAAGGAAAATGGGCCTTTTTGTGAGGATCCGTCCAGTTTCCAAGAGAGACAGAAAGAATACGGGTTTAATTCAACCAATACAGTATGTCAAAAAGAAAGGATAAAGTGATGGGAGTCAGGGATGAACTTTGGGGGAAAAAACAGATGATGTAATGGACATTTATGTTCTCGGACTGGGCCTGCCCTAGTGCCTTTCAGTCAATATTTATTCTCAAATGATGATGTCATCATTGGTAATTATTTAATAAAAAGTGTCGGACACATAATAAAAGATGACTGCATTTATTTGGAATGAAAACTATGTTTTGCATAGCGTTATGTATATTGAATTAGGAGCATGTTGTGCTTTTTGTAAGTCATGAGTTGTAGCTATTGCATCTTTGACTTGTGGTTTGCTCTACAGACAATGCTAACCAGCATTAGTAATGCTGTTTCACAACATCCACAGACGCCAGAACTTAGTCAAAGACTAACAAGGAACTTAGAAAAAAGAAAAGACACTGACTAAGTCATTCTCATCTGCCTGAGCTGCATTCTGTAAAGCAAAACCAGGAAGAGCCAAAGAAATGTGCTGTCATGCAGTCAAAGAAAGCATCACAGAGACAGATGTACACACTTAAAAAATAGTTCCCCCTGTAATATGACAGTTATGGATACCAGAACATGTGAAACTAATCTGTTTTAACAATTTTAAGAATGCCAAATGAGCAGCAGCACTGGAACATCAAACAGAATCACCATTAACAGGCTGTTAAACTTTGCTGTTTTTGTGTCTCATTCTAAAATTTGGCTATTTCGAGGGCCAGGACAAAAAAAACTCAGGGTTGCTATTTCCTAAAAGAGCAAAACCCCTTCAAACCCCCTAAAACGATGTGGCTGCAACCCAATAGTCCAGTTTCAGCTTTAAATTCCACTGGAAATTTGATATATTACCATTTGTTCATAGTTATAATAAGTCGTTTATGAGTTCGCTGAAATGGGATTCCAATTCAGAATACATACAAAGTGATCAGCGGTGTGCCCCCCTATCCTACATGTATGGTGTGAGAAACCTTCTATTCATTTCCTTATTCTAAGAACCCATCGGTTCTTATGTGAGAGGCAGGTGCATTGTGGACAGGTCACAGCTCCATCACAGACCCACACAGAGGCAGATCAGATACACAACCCCGCACACTCACTATAGGCTTAATTTAGATTAATCAATTAACCCAGCATGCATGTTTTTGAATGGATGGAGAAAGAACCACTAATGCAGCCGGTATTCACGTCAGGAACTCTTTTATAGGGAACAACTCCACACCTCCATGCTGCCCCACAGTCCTCCTGGAAAACCTAACTGGTGTGTGTGGCTTTAGTTTGCAGACAGGAAGAGGGCGCTGTTATTCCAGCTATAGGGGAGCAGGCTGGTGGAGATGATGGTGTTTCTCTTTATGCTTCTATAGGAGGGTCAGATTAATGACATGGACTGGAAAGGATGGTTTTGAATCATATATTTTGAGTACCGCCATCCTGCACATTTTTAATAATTGTTGTGATTGGTGTGTGTGAAGTACTGAGCCTAACCTCTCTCTGCTCCAGAGATGACTCACACTACAGGCCAGCAGCTCATATTTTCTGAATATATGAATGTGACTACGTATGCGTGACACATTTTTCGTGTGAGCCTGTCCTCCTTTGACCATCTGAAGGTCTTCTCCATTTTCTCTGTGTCACTGAGCCCTCTGTATCGCCAGAGAATGAAAAAAGGAGGCAGAACTCTTGCACAGCTGTCCATTTTCCTCACTTAGTCTTGGCGTGAGACGCAGACAGCATGTGGAGTTCACATAAAGAGATGATCCAGCGTGCCCATCTGGTGGGAGAGGCCTGAGGAGGTCAGTGTGGAGGCCCAAAAGGCCAGAGAGACGCAGGTCCTCTTCTTAAACACATTCTGGAGCTTTTTAATAAATATATATACACAGGAAATCATGTGGTAGGCTTTGGATTATTTATACTATGGAATCACAGCTTTCCATACTGTTTCCTTATGCTTTATATATATA